CTCGTTCACCAACCCCCAGCCAAAATGCAATCACGGAGCGGCGTGGTTAGCTCGTCTCCGCGGTCGCTCTCACCATCTCCACTCCGGACACGCCCACCTCCAGCACGTGTGGCGTCTTACGTCATCACGTACCCACCTGTTCGTCACACAGCAATCTGACAACAATCTGTGTCTTGTACTGTGAGGTGCTTTGATAGTCAATCAGGTATTCTCGGTACTATGTTCCATTTTGACAAATAGCTGGGTGTTGACAGTTATCAGCCTTTTTTTTTTTTTTTGGTCATCTTCTGTCTGCAAACATTATAGCAATATCCAGAATTAGCATAGGACTTCTTTTCAGCATATGAAGGCTGTTTGCTGTAGTCATTCAATGATAAACTTTATGGCAAAGTCTTTTCTTGCATCACCTTCATATGTGCATCCAAAGCATTTCACAAGCATCTGTCCCGTCTTTTTCCTGTTTTCAGCATGCTTTGCCATCATTGTTGAGTCCATTATTAGGATTTGAAATAGTCCAATCACATCTTTCTCATGTATAATCGGTTTTTGGAATGATCTTCAATAGGTTCCTTGTGAAATACCAGTGTAGGCAATCATTTCACTGTGAGCTGTGCCTCTCCTTTTGAGATGGTTCTTGGAGGTTGTCCTTGCAATCACAGAACTTGTATAGTGTGCAGTCCAATTCAGTTCAGGTGCTTCCTGCTTGTTAACATAATCCCAATGCAGTTTTAAAACGACAGCTAGGGTTGATGTTATGATAATGTTGCAGATTGTAAGAAGGAGACACCATAACAAATTTTCTAGCATCCTTTTGCTTCCATCTTTGCATTTCTTTCTCACTGTATAAGATAATTCAGGTACAGTCTGTTTTCTCCAGAGTCTTTCAATAATGATGTTGATGGTTCATTTTTCATACATTCCATGTTAACTGTGAATGTATCACGTCTGTCTGTTCATCCTTCTCCTTCACATTTGCAGGTTCAGATGTCAGATCATGATTCGATCTGTTACGTGGCTGTGATTCTGGAAGCATTTTGGTCATCTTCTGTTTGTTTTTTTCTTGCTTTTTTAACAGCATCCATTGTTTCAGTCAGTGGTTCTGTGAACTTCCTGGAAGTATTTAGCAGGTTTTAAAATATCAAAACTTACTGTTACTTACTGTTTTCTGCAATAAAAGTTCTTGGAGTCACCCTCACCAGGACAAACTGGCCAACAGTAGGAAGTAGGTGGTGGTGCATGGTGTGGTGGGCTGGAAAAAAATAATTCTCTAGATTTCTCTAATAGAAACTATGGTTCTAATATCTCCCTGGTGCAGAAATATGATTGTCAGCGAAAAATGTGTAACATTCCATATGTTGTCTCACCGTTTGTATTATCAGGTATTTTGTTAACGCTCATCGGTACCATAGAAATAAGTAGATACCCCTGTGTGGGGGCAAGCAACTAGTAACTTGGTTAATAGTCATTTTACCTTGGAACGTTTGTTAGAGGAAACAAACGTTCCTATAAAAGATATATACTTTTAACAAAAATGCCAGCTAAAAACAATGACAAATAATTACCCTAGATGTATTAAATAACTCTTAGGTGGGACATATAACACACTAGATAAATGATGTATCCAATTCTAACATTGGTTCATAACATATACTTCCCAAAAACTGCAACAGTTTCAATTATTCCAGAAGCAGCATGTTGCAGTCCAAAGGGAAAATAGATGTGAACACAAAGGGGGTTGTGCCACCTTTTATAGCATTGCATGTAAATTGTATAAAAACTGTAGGTAATGTAAGATACTGGATAAATACCCCTATCTAAGAGAAAAATGACCAAATAAATATACAAAAACAGCAATATTTGTATTGAAAAGTATGTAAAAAAATATAATAAAAATGTGCAAAAAAAATATAAAAAATCCAAAAGTTCAAAAGGTAACCGCTGATATAACAGATGTAAAAGTACCTGACCTCAGGGGGGCCCCCAAAAAATGAGGTGATGAAACAGCAGCTCTAAGATCAAAATGTGGCGATAAAAAACTGCTTGACTTGTTGATGAATGGTAGAACACATAGGATCTCAATGAAGGCAGTCACACAGGCAGTAAACCTGGCGTGGTGTGCTGATATCCATCAAGTATATCTACGGTTTACTGCCTTCATTGAGATCCTATGTGTTCTACCATTCATCAACAAGTCAAGCAGTTTTTTATCACCACCTTTTGATCTGCTGTTTCTATTTTTGAATCATTTGGATCGTCACCTCATTTTTTGGGGGGACCCCCCCTGAGGTCAGGTACTTTTACATCTGTTATATCAGTGGTTACCTTTTGAACTTTTGGGTTTTTATATTTTTTTTTACACTTGTCAATACAAATATCACTGTTGTTTTTGTATATTTATTTGATACTTTTTCTCTTAAATAGGGGTTTTTATCCAGTATCTTACATTACCTTCAGTTTTTATACAATTTACATGCAATGCTATAAAATGGTTTTTCACCAAGGTTTGCAACATATAGTGGCACAACCCCCTTTGTGTTCACATCTACCTTGCCTTTGGACTGCAACATGCCACTTTTGTGTATTAAATATTTGTATTTTGTAAGTGAAACTGTTGCAGTTTTTCGGAAGTATATGTTATGAACCAATGTTAGAATTGGATACATTGTTTATTTAATGTGTTATATTTCCCACCTAAGAGTTATTTAATATGTAATTATTTGTCATTGTTTTTAGCTGGTATTTTTATTAAAGGTATTTATCTTTTATAGGAATGTTTGCTTCCTCTAATTATTTGTGGAGTGCGTATGCTATATATTTTTAGTTATTTTTCCTATTTGCCAAGTCGTTTGCTGGTTTGTAGCTGTCCAAATTTATTATCTATCTTGGTTACCACCCCCTTGTTTAAGTCAATTCTATATTTCTTAAATAACAGATTTTCTAGGGGGAGTATAATTTTCAACTCTGTTTATGTAAAAATATAAGCTAGTAAGCACATACTATATAAAATATATGCTGCAGTGTAGTGCATTGTACTGCAATGAATGCTTTTTAAAAGCCATGTCTTTTTCTTTATGGCTGTGTGTGTAATAAAGTTATTCATAATTTGGAATATTAAAAAAAAAAATGACTTCTCAATTCCTTTGAATGGAAGCATTGTTTATCTGTCTCTGTAACTCTGTGACCTTGTCTGGAAATGCAAGATTTCAAAATAGTATGCTGTTATAATTCCTGATTTTTTTTAATCAACAGAAAGTGTAACTGACAATATGGAAATTATCACTGTTTTATAAAACTTTTCATATATAGTGGATAGTAAAATCCAGTAGGCAGTAATGCAATAATTAAAAATCCTGTCTGTTGCATTTGTGGCATGAATGTATTCATTAGGCCATAATGCAATTTCTTTGCATTCTTGGAATTAGACTTTGAAATCTACTAGCAATATAATAGCAAGTGTTGCATTCATCGCTTGTCTTATCACTTGCATGACGACAATGTATTGCATTAATCTTTTTTTTTTTTTGGGGCATGCAAACTATGCAGCTACAGAGAGAACATGGCCCCACTGCCTACAACCCACTGTCCTGGAACTAATGAACCATGCTGTGTTGGTGTATTAGGGAGTTTACCAAACATGTACTGTATATATGTTTTTCTTATGACATTAAAGGAGCAATATAGGATCAGGAACACAAACATGTATTCCTGAACGTACAGTGTTAAAACCACTATCTAACCCCTTGGCTCCCTTTGCCTCCCTAAAGATAGTAAAATCTTACTTGTAATCAAGTCTGAAGCTGCTGCCTCTGCCTGTGAACTTCCTCTGACATCATAAGAAGTGGTGGCCTGATCCAATCACAATGCTTCCTCATAGGATTGGCTGAGACTGACAAGGAGGCAGATCAGGGGCAGAGCCAGCATGATTCAAACACAGCCTTGGCCAATCAGCATCTCCTCATAGAGATTAATTAAATCAATGAATCTCTATGAGGAAAGTTCAGTGTCTGCATGCAAAGGGAGGAGACACTGAATGTTTGGATGCATTTTAAGCAGCCATGACCCAGGAAGGCTCTCTAACAGCCATCTGAGGAGTGGCCAGTGAAGTTATCACTAGGCTGTAATGTAAACACTGCATTTTCTCTGAAAAGACAGGATTTACAGCAAAACACCTGAAGGTAATGATTCTACTCACCAGAACAAATTCAATAAGCTGTAGTTGTTCTGGTGACTATGTTGTCCCTTTAATTAAGATCCACAATTTCAGCATTGTATGCTAATTACAATGTACCTGGCACCTGAAATCCAAGTGCATTGTGCAAGTTCAAATAAAATCATTTCTTCATGATGATCTCTCTCTGAGTCTGGGCTACAAATGGCTCATTAGATTCTTGTGCCATGACAAAGTATTGTGTCTTCTCTTACGTATAAGAGGTTACCTAGATATATGTATATATTATTTTATAGTTAAAGCTTCCTAGTACAAGCCCCACTTTGGGTGCCAATTGTAACCGCAGCTGGTTCCCTTATTTACCACTATAACGTCTTAAAGCATAGAACTTAGCAGGGCTAACCATACAGATATCTTAGCTAAAATATTAGATAGTTAGTAAGAGATGCTCTATCTAAAATACATATAAATAATTGAGAATACAATATAAAATAAGGATTGTCTTGAAAGCAATAAAGTTTGGTCTTTTTAGATATTTTATTAAATAAAAATATAAATAGACATATAAAATCCATCACAATAATTTGTGGCAGAGTTTATAAGATTAAACTATATGCTTGCAATATCATTAAAATAGAATAATATACCCTCTTGAACATGACAACATCTCTCAGTCATAATATGTAGAAGTGTTTCTGTCTCCAAATCTCTCCTCTGTGCGTTAACATTTAAAAGTTACACATATTTATACTTTTTTTCATTTTATGGTTACCGCAGTTCATATATGAAAAGGTAAAACTTATTTTACTTTATTCATTTTAGGGTTGCCGTAGTTCATGTATGAAAAAGTAAAAATTCTCTTACTTTTCATTAGAATTAAGTATGACGTAGGATAGCCTTGAAGATGTTTATGCATTTCTTGTTATTGAATTAAGCAAAAACAAAATGGCGTAAGTTAGAACAACGCAGCATGTTATGCACTGAAAGTAGGTAAGAGGTTATTAAAGAAACATTGTATGAAAATCAATATGTTCCATTTCTAATGAGTATACAGTTTAAGAAACACAACTTTTCATTCAAAAACTTTGCCCATAACATACCATTGCACGCTATTGGTCGGTTATTATATTCTCCCTTGAACACTTTGTTGCCCAAATTTATTACAACTACTGTCAACTGGGTTTAACTGCTAGTTTTTATTGTCCTCTTTAGTTTGCTCTCTGATACTCTATTAATAAGACTTGTCTGATTATCATTCCTCTTCTTACCACTTTTGCCCCTTTGGTGGCATTTGGTTCCCATTCCAACCCATTCCAACCCATCCATGACTACAGTTCTTTATATGAGGCTGCTTCCTTCTCCTTACCAGGGGAGGGGCCTTAGCATGTCTTATTTTATACTCTTTTTACTATTTATAGCGGCAAATAGTGATGAAAGGTCACTGTGGGCAATTATATTTCACAGGTGTTGTGTTTTCTTAGTCATGAATGAGCTGGAATGGGAACAGCAGGGGACATCATCCACGTTAGTAGCGATGTCCATAAAGCCCACCGACAGGCAGCCTGGACACCCCCCAAGCTATCAGGACCATGCATGGAGCACTGATAAAACAGTTCCGGCATGGTCCTAGGGCCCCCTGCATAGTGTGAGTGCGTCTAATCATGTGTTTGTAGTGTGTTACCTGGGGACAGTGTCCTGGTGTCCCCAAATGCAGGACGCCAGGGATCTGAAGCAGGACAGGGACTTTCCCACCAAAATGCAGGACTGTTGGGAGGCATGAAATAACTCTGTTATCTGAGTTTATTAAAGCTCAGAAAACAGCCTGTGAGACATGACAGTAAATATCACATCTTTAAACTAACTTCAAAGCGTAACTAAATGCAGCAGCAGCAGCACAGCTATTTACACCACTTAGTAAATCAAACTGAATGCATTTAACTTATAATAAGTAAAGTGACATATTTCAAAACTGAACACTAAATAAAACTGAAAAAAATAAACATAACAAAACCTTAAACGTTGATTATATGAAATAGTCCAACATATTTTATCAATAATCGGGGAAGTAGTCTGTGAGATTTATTCACTAAACTTTGAATTGTAGGGAAATTAAATCAGAACAGCAACATTTAGCCAAAAATATATAAAATTATAGTCACAGAATGGACTTTAGATCATGAATTTTGCCATTCAGATTTTAATTCGATGCAAGCCAGCATTTAGCGGATAAACCCCTGTGAGCTTAAATGTTTGATTAACAAGTAAAACGAGTACAGTCGTGTTGGGAAGCAATCAGTGTTAATTATCTGCCCAAGCTCTGTTCCCACAGTGGTAAGTGCTAAATGTACTGTTATTTGTCTCTATGACATGCTGTGCTTTAATACACATTGTACTACTCCATTGGGAGCCCCATTAGATCTTATCAGCAGTCATTAAATGAATGGCTTTTAATGAGTAATAATAACTGTAATAATGTGACCAGGTTACTCAATTACTAAAGACGTAGATATCTGATACCTAAACTAGATGCCAACCTTAGTGTCATAGGGTATGTATGAAAGTCTTGTAAATTATCAACAGCTGAAATGTGAAAATATGGTTTTCATTCATTAAACACTGAATTGTGATGGAATGAAAACCTAATTAATAACTTTTAGACCAAAATAGAAATGTTATCCATTTCCCACATATTACCAACTTGACTATTTTCACCTAAATTATGAAAAAATGTTTTTATTGAATTCACTGCTTCAGCATTTATTACGTATACATTGTACTTTTTATCAGTGTAACAGCTGAATGGACTTTGTTTTCCATAGCAAAATCCTCCCAAAACAGGTCAGGTTCTACAATGAAACAATTTGTTATTATGCTTGAGTGTAATGTTTATTCTAAGTAATCACAACATTAACATTAGCAGTGGGATCTGTTGTATAGTATATATTATAATGCAATGATGGTAAACCAGCTGTTGTTACACAGGAACTTTAACCCCTTAAGTACACATGATGGAAATATTCCGTCATGATTCCTTTTTATTTCAGAAGTTGTGTCCTTAAGGGGTTAATTCACAAATCCTGAATGCTAAATAATAGCCAGGGCTGGCATAGTCTCTACTTTGCACATATTTCACCATTATCTACCACAAAGCATAAGACATAGGGGTTTATTCTATAAACCAGGAACTGTGGTTAAATTAGTCAAAATGGACTTGTTCTCCAACTCCATGTTTTGTAACCCAGTTCCTCAAAGATCATCCATGTTTATCAAGCAGATGTTCCATAAACAGAAGCCTTCATCTCCAGGCTGATGAGGACATGGAAACAGAGATCTGATGATGACTATATCTATTTGAAGCTGTAGGCTTGAAAGGACAGTTGAGAGGGGTCTGCAAGTTAGGTAAGCTAAACTGATAATACCATCCTTACCCTAACTGAACAAGAAATCTGTTAAGCAAAGATAGCCATAGGAATAATCAAAAATAAATTATTTAATAATAATAAAGTCATAATAATAATAATAATAATAATAATATAAATTAGGTAATATACTGTAAACCAACCATTATAGGAAACCTTTGGATAGAAACACAGTCCTACAATGTACTAGCTTTCATCCTTCTTTGTCTTCAAGACTTTACCTACGAGCCAATGTATGAGAGTTAGAAGACTAGAGTCTCAAGCTGATAAAGATGAACAACAACTTGAAGCCATGACAGTAGGTTTTTGCCAAAACAGCTATAAATACTATGTATACTAGATACACAGCTAACTGAGGTAGAAGACAAGGATAAATGAGAGTTGTTTTTTCCAAACAGTTTGTCAAAGAGTGATTGGAATAGAATTAAGTTTGTCTCTCAATTTTGTACTCTAGCGCCTAATATTAGAAAATTATTTTAAAACATTGGCATAAACTATTAGAAAGTCAACATGAAATACTTGATTTTATTGAATAAGCTATGTTAGCCTATGAAAGGTGCCCATCATTCCCCGACAGGCATGTAAAAGCAGACCTAGCAGTATGTGACTTCACAAGGGTGTCAGAGAAGAAGAGTAATTTCTCTTGTTTTAACTGTCTCATGCCATACCATGATCCAAGCCAATACATTTTATCATCCCCCCAATGACAAAAAGTATTTCATTAAACATGTTGATACATGTAATACAGCATTTGCTACTTACATCTTAAAGTACCCTTGTGGTCTTTTATATGTAGGACAAACACCGCAAAGACTTAAAGAAATATTTTAAAGACTGGTCACACTAAGCTGCCAATACCAGTTCACTTTAAGGAGTTTATACATAACATCTCTCAATTTACATTTCAAATAATAGAACATATTCCTGAGACAATAAGGCGGGAAGATCGAACTAGGAAATTACTGTTGTAAAGGATCCTTCTATTCGTGCAGCGATGATCCTTGCAGCTTCTCCCAAAATACAGCTGAAACGAAGTGATTATAACTCCCAATCGCCCAAACATGAGTCGAGACTTCATGAAGGGGTAAAACGATCTGATTTACTGTGGGCTACCTGCCCGGTATTTATGCAGGTCTCCCACCTGGTGGACACTCCCCTAGGGGACCAGATGGAAGACTGGGACAAAAGCATTACAGTAGCCAATCACAGTGGCTATAACATAAGCACTCCCCTTTTACATAAATCACTCCCTCTTTTCCATCCTGGAGATAATTAACTTAAGTGAGTAAAAAGAGCCTTAATTATCTCCAGGTAGAAAGAAACATGGCTTTTCTTATTTTAGCAAAACAGCATAAAAATCTCTAACTTACATTTTACAGAACATAAACTTTAAGTCCCACATATCCCCAGATAGCTTGGATCTGAGTGCATATTCTAGGCGAATAGCGCTCAGATCCCACGAACACAGTTCTCAAAAACGTCGACTGAAGTTTGGCTTTCGCCAGCCGTTCGCGTGATTGTAGCCGACAACAAGTTCCATACTGTAGCTATCTGGGGTCGGTCACTTTCGCGTACTTCCAACACATGAATGAGGTAGTATCTCCGGCATTCGTGTGTTTTTCCACCGTACGAACGAAGATCTGAAGAGGTAGCAGTGGTGTTCGGCAAAATAAGTAGCCAAAATTAGTTCCAGGGAATCGTCGCCATTTACCGTTGAGCGGTCGACAATCCAAAATGTTCGGTAAACGAACGCGGACCACCAGCTATTCCCCAATTAGTCTGTGGTTAACCGCAAAAGTCTGGGTGGTTAATAGGCGCCACACGACCTCAGTGGGAGGTCGGGTGGTTCGGTAGTTCATTTGTTTTTCTCGCTATTTGCACGAAATCACTCTGTACCCATCCAAATAACCGAACAGGCTGGTTCGCATGGTCTGTTCAATAAGGGATTTCGTTACAACTGTTAAGTAAGGTTTGGTTTTTTTGGATAAAGAATTTGATATGTTGAAGTCAAAAGAATTAAATCAGGAGTATCATCTTTCACCATTAATCTGAGTGAAATCACTGAAGGGGTCATGATACTTGGAGTAATACTTCACTCCACCAAATATTTATGGAAAAAAGGGGTTGTTATTCACAAAAATGTTTATTCACTAAACTTCAGGGTTTGAAGACGTGATCATCTTGCAAACCTTATGCCAAATGCTTAAGTTAGATAAAATCGGACAAGTTGGATATTTTTTTGCCCCAAATAATTTATTGTAGCTTTAAAAAGAACACTCTACCAGGGTTATTTACTAAAGAGATAATTCAAGGTAAATTTCAAATGCAAGGCCAAAATAGCCAAAATGGAAAATTTCTCTAAGCTGTCTGTGCTTTAAAGGGACACTATAGTCACCTGAACAACTTCAGCTTAATGAGGTTGTTCAGGTGAGAACTATAGCTCCCTGCAGCCTCTCATGTAAACACTGTATTTTCTGAGAAAATACAGTGTTTACATTGAAAGCTAGGAACACCTCCAGTTGCAGTCACTCACTCATAATATGCCTCCATCCACTCAGATCTGCTGTCAGCAGAGCACAGGGCAGCACTGTGCACAGCATCCTGTGATTCAGTATCTCCTCCCTCTGCATGCAAACACTGAACTTTCCTCATAGAGATTCATTGATTCAATTAATCTCTATGGGGAGATGCTGATTGGCAGGGCTGTGTTTGAATCATGCTGGCTCTGCCCCTGATCTGCCTCTTTGTCAGTCTCAGCCAGTCCTATGGGGAAGCACTGTGATTGGATCAGGCTACCACATGTCAGCAGACTGCTTGTTTTTCTGAGTCTAACAGCATGCAGATTTACAGCTTCAGACTTGAATACAGTAAGATTTTTACTATATTTATGGTGGCATGAGGGGGGCTAGATGGTGGTTTTAACACTACAGGGTCAGGAATACATGTTTGTGTTCCTGACCCTATAGTGATCCTTTAAGTTCAGCTACTCTGGCATAACATCTGAAATCCACATAATGAATAACCCTGTATGTAAATATTTCATAGACTGTTCCTTTAAGTTTCAACGTCTCTCTCTCTCTCTATGCCTAGTGTATAAGCAAGGCACGATCTAATTACTGCATTTAAATATTGAACACAATAGAGGAGATACTTTCCATTTGGATGGAGCATATGGCGGAGTGGCAAACATTTTTTGCGTATGACAGCAAAAATCCTTGCACCAGCCCTGAGTGGCATTGTCACAAATGATGGAACAGGAGGGGTTCTGTCTCTCTCATTGTCACAGGGGACTCAGCCTTACAATGAAACGGTTCTAAAATTAGACACAGGATTTTCAGGACCACATTTTGAGTTCCAGCCGCTTCAGCTGACCTCAAACAACACCCATGGATAATGGCATGATTTAGCACACACATACAAATACAGCTTTAAATTTTATAAGGCTACTTAAAATCACCTATCTCAGCAAACAAATATGTGGATTCAGTTCCACCATATTATTATTATTATTTATAAAGCGCCAACCAATTCTGCAGCGCTGTGCAATGGGTAGATTAACAGACATGAAAAAAAATTAATAAACCAATAGAAATATGAGGTAGAAAAAGCAATCAAAAATTAGCACAGAATAAGACACCAGGTCCTGGCGGTTTCAGCAATTTATTTAATAAATTATACAAAAATGTTATTTTGCATAATTTATTTAAAACCTTTAATGAGTTAGTGACCAAAGGTATTTTCCCTCAGGAAATGTTGAAAGCAAATTTCTTACCCATATTAAAACAGAGGGAAAATCCATCAGATTTAACCAGATACGGGTCTATCTCATTAATAAATGTCGTCACAGAGCTGATTGAAGAGTACTTTGGGGGATATTATGCACCAGGATCAGATTGGTTATGTTCCAGGCAGGTCATCCTGTAATAATATTAGACAAATAATCAATATTTTAGATTCGGCTGAGCGAACATGTACTCCCCTCCTTACCCTGTCGCTAGACGCAGAGAAAGCATTTGACAGGGTGGGATCAGAGTACATGTTCGCTACATTACAACACTATGGCTTAAGTGATTGGATGCTCAGCAAAATAAAATCCCTATATACAGTTCCAACAGCTAGGGTGGTGGGCATGAACCTATGTTCAGAGTGGTTTATTTAAAAAAAATGGAACAAGACAAGGTTGCCCTCTATCCCCCATCTTGTATATCTTGTCGACAGAACCACTAGCTACAAGAATGAGAGATAATAGAGAAATAAGGGGGTATACAGTCAAAAATCAACAGTCAAAGTTATGTTTACATGTGGATGATGTTTTTGTTTTTTTAACGGATCCATATGAATCGCTGAAGCACCTGTTGGAAGAATTAGACAGATTTAGCTATATCTCAGGATATAAACTTAATATGAGTAAATCTATCGCTCAACTTTTTAATGTAGATAAAAAAGAACGGGAGCGAATTTGCAACAGTTGTAGTTTTGATTTTTAAAAAAACACTTTCACTTACTTGGATATAATCATTCCAACTGATATAAAAAAAATAGTTGAATGCAACTTTTTGGATAACTTTAGAACTATGAATGTACTATTAAAATAATGAATAAATAAGGAAATATCATGGTACAGTAGAATTAATATCATAAAGGCGTATGTTTTACCCAAGTGGATTTATTTGTTCAGAATGATACCACTTAGCTTCCAAACAAAATGGCTACAATTAATTTAACATAGCTTTAGGAATAAATTTGTGTGGAAAAGGAAAATACCATACCATATTGTCAAAAAACAACACAATGGTGGTTCAGGTTTCCCTATTGTTCAACAATATCATGTATCATGTTAATAAGATGGCTAATCCAGCCTTCAATAATGAGGACTGGTATTTGTTAGAAATGATAAATGCAGAGTGTAAAGATCTATCCACTCTATTATGGAATTTAGAGAAAAATAAAAATAGACAAACAAGTAAAACTGGTTGTTTGATACATAATCATATGTTACTGTTGTGGATGAATTTAAGAAAAAAAGCTAACCTATCCAACAAAGTTCAGAAATTCCTAAATATCCCAGAAATTGAAAATAATATAGAAAATTTAAATCTAGAAAATTGGAGGAGAGCAGGAATAGAAAAGGTTGAACAACTGATAGAAAATATTACTATTAAGAGTTTTGTAGCGCTACAATCTACTTATGATCTGCCTCCAAGGGAGGCATTTAACTATATTAGAGTGAAAAGCTTTCTGAACAAGTATGCTCTCATGGAAAATAACTAATGATGTTGGAAAAAATATTTTAGCAGAAAAATCATAAAAAAAATGTTGGTCAAATGTGTAAAAATAATTAAAATATTAAATAATAAAAATCAGAAAAATAGTGACATTACAAAATAAGAAATTGATTTGCACCA